AAGAAACTTCAATGGAATTAACCCCCTAAATCAGCAGTTTTTATTGAGCCGATTAAAAGACTTTATTATATCTTTAAAATCAATGTGTTGAAACTTAAATGGGCTATTACAATTATTTCAACTTGCCTTTTAAATAGATTCAGCAATAGTGGAAGAGGAATTCAACCACTGTGTAATTAAGACTGGAATTTCAGTAAATAAACTTTCGACATGCTCGTCCGCGAATTGGACTCGCACTTGGCTTATTTTTGTATTGTTATTGGCTCCATGATCACTGGTTGCTTATTGTATCGAATTTATATAGATAGTTATTTGCTTTTGAGAATAGAAGTTTTACTAACTTCAACTATTTCTCGGTTATGAAATAATAGTATGGTACCTATACATTACATAATATAAACTCTATCATTATTAGGACTGAAGACGTTACACGGTCGTTAGAGCACTGAATGATGTTATTAAATCTTCTCCCATTTATAAATAATTTTAAATACAGCACAATAACAAACCTATGTTTTTGTCCTGAGGTTAAATATTAGGAGCATATGAAATTGGCCTTTTGTCATACTGGCCACTTTAATCACAAATTGCTCCTCCATTTATACGTAAATGGCTGTATAAATTTGAATTTGGAATTCCCAACCAAGGAAGAGTAATTTGTGGTGAATGTCGCCTAACGAAACATTCATTTGTTTTTTTTTTTCTTCTGTTTATCCTATTTACGTCACCCAATATAAAAAATGGTTAACTTGAAATATTGTATTATTTACGAGTACGAGTTCCACCGTGGTACCAGTGCTGCGGAAACGGCTCGAAGGGTTAATGATGTGTATGGCGGTTGTGTCGCAAAAGAAAACATAGTGCGTTTTCGATTCCAACGTTTTCTGTCTGGAAAGGGTTTAGCCGGATACGTATGACGAGTCGGCCCCCAAATGGGAATCGATATTGAAACTTATGTGTTAATATCGACTTGATGTTCAAACACGATTTATGTACTTTTCGCGACCGACTTCCGCTTTGACCTTGAGATAGAGAGCAAAATATCCGTATGCTTGACTATTACTAAATGTGATATATCTCTGAAGCTAATTAAGATAAAGAATTGAAACTAACGCGAGGTGTTAGGTTACATTACAGAGTATATCACATATATTTTTTTATAATTTTTAGAATAAAAAATTACATTAAAAAAATAAAAAATAAAAAAAATCATGTTTTTTTTCTGAGTTCTCTGTGACTTACAATCACGAAATTAATATATGTTATGCTCCTTTGTGTGCTCTATTACCCATAAAAATTGCGTGAAAAAAAAGTTGGTGCAACACAACGAAAAAAAATATATGTGATTTCTGTCTTATGGTATACCCCTGTATTATAAGGTTTTCACATTACATCATTGTTTTTTTTTTCGAAATTTCACATCAGCTTGTTTTAAAACATAAGTAACTAGTCTTAAGAGATGGGATAATAGTTAAAAAAGAAATGAAAAAAAAAACAGCCAGTGTTCAATACTTATTATTATTACTTTTTCGTGTCTATCAAAATACGAGAAACAAAATATTAATCATCGTCACTGTTGTAATTAATTACAATCGGAACACTTTGAGTCGCAAATAACTTAGTTAGGACCTCAGCAGGACGTACGATTTTGGACAAATATCATACATATGATAGATAATAAATAATAGCTGCTACAAGAGAACAGCATCCCACTGTACGTTCGCCATTGGGGCAATCACAGCAATAACGAAGAATACTATTGTAGTCATTACCTTCGGAAATATAGTGAATGTAAATTCGATAGACTTTTCTATTTATATGTCTTGATTTTACTTCTGCTTTGATGATATTAGGTGCTGATTTCACATATTGTACTGAGAGATTATTTTGATCGTCCATTATTTCGGCCAAGTTAAATGCTGCACATTTAGAAGTAGAAGCTTTTTTGTTAATATATGGGATAAGTCGACACTTCTTACAAAAAATATCATTAACTATTACGATTTTATTCAAACAGTCACTAAACACTTTAGCTTCTTCTTCATTCTTTATAATTTTTTAATAACCAGGAATCTTACACAGGTACTTGTTACAATTTTTACACTTTGTCGACATTATTACTTAATAATGATTTGGTTCGATAGTTAATAATTTCAAAATGCTGGTACAAAAAATCTATGACAGAATTTGAGTCCCAAACTGCCTTCTTGTGTAATACAAATGACTGCTACTTTAGCTAAACAAACGATGCAGTAAACAGCTCGATAACAAGTTCGAACTTGTTTGTTTATACACTCACACTACAAGGCGCGAATCACATATAATTTTTTTTCGTTGTGTTGCACCAACTTTTTTTTCACGCAATTTTTATGGGTGATAGAGCACACAAAGGAGCATAACATATATTAATTTCGTGATTGTAAGTCACAGAGAACTCAGAAAAAAAAACATGTTTTTTTTTATTTTTATTTTTTTAATGTAATTTTTTATTCTAAAAATTATAAAAAAATATATGTGATATACTCTGTAATGTAACCTAACACCTCGCGTTAGTTTCACTTCTTTATCTTAATTAGCTTCAGAGATATATCACATTCAGTAATAGTCAAGCATAAGGATATTTTGCTCTCTATCTCAAGGTCAAAGCGGAAGTCGGTCGCGAAAAGTACATAAATCGTGTTTGAACATCAAGTCGATATTAAAACATAAGTTTCAATATCGATTCCCATTTGGGGGCCGACTCGTCATACGTATCCGGCTAAACCCTTTCGACCTGTAGAACAAGCCCCGTGGACGGCCGGAGACCCAAGTTAACAATGAAGAATTTAAAGCTATTGTGGAAGCGGATCCATCGCAAACATCGCCCAAATTAGCTGCAGGCTGCGGTGGTAGTGATAAAACTAATCCACTTTAAGCAAATTGGAAAGATTAAGAAGCTTGAAAGATGGGTACCACGAATTGAGTGAAGTAAACCGGCAAACTCGCTTCGACTGCTGCCGTACAATATAATTAACCAGCACAATAATGAAGGGTTTTTAAATCGAATCATTCCCTGTGATGAAAAGTGGATTCTCTACGATAATCGGAAGCGCTCATCGCAACGGTTGGACCCTGGCATGCCAGCCAAATCCTGCCCCAAGCAAAAATTGACCCCAAAAAAGTTACTTTTAAGTGTTTGGTGGACTAGTGCCGGTGTCGTTCATTCAGTTTTCTCAAATCTGGCCAGACGATTACGGCAGACGTCTATTGTCAGCAATCGCTAACCATCCTGGAAAAACTAGCTGTTAAACAACCGAGTCTGGTCAATTGCTCCACGTCACTGCTACTTCACGACAACGCTGGACTACACACTGTACAACAGATGGCTACCAAATTAGAAGTGCTTCAATTAGAATGTTTAAAATCATCCACCGTATTCCCCGGATCTTGCTCTAACAGATTACCATTTTTTTTCAAATTTGGATAACTTCTTGTAAGGGAAAAAATTCAACTACGATGGGGCAGTGCAAATCGCCTTCAAAGATTTTATTGATTAGATTATATTGAATCGTTGAACGATTAACCACAATCCAGTGTTCAGTTGCGGGATCGGTTTTTGTAGCCAAAATTCGGGGTAACCATTTTTAAACTTGATTTTTATTACCTCGTTTGTTGTCAATTTTATAAGTTCTTCTTCCAAATGAGATAACATTGCTGTGTTGATATTTGAAAACGGAGCCAACACCCAGTTCTGTATTTCCAAGCTCAAAATACCCTGATATCGTTCGGCGAAGTCAATATGGAGGTTTTCCAAATGTTGGCAGTCTGCAAATGTTGGCAATATACAGTAAATCATCGTTACTGCAGGATTTTAATAAATTCGGATAATTGTGAAACTCACTGCACAGTCTGCCCATATTCTTTTTATGTAGAAACAGTTTGGATGCGAAACCAGCAACGGCGATGTTTGTTTTAATTAAATTTACTTCATCGCCTTGTAGTTGGACATTCATATCATTAAAGAATTTATACAGGTCTGTTATGTAAGCTATATGATTGATGTAATGAGCTTATTTTGCAACTCTGTATCTTTAGTTTCTGAGAACTCTATCACAGAGCTAAACAGGTTGTAAAATCGAGTCAGGCAATAGCCAATTAACAACAAACATTTAAAATCACATTCATATAAGATAAAATAATATAACATTCAAAGAGCTGTTGCGGATTTTATTGACTGCTTTGATGACATATTGCAGTGATTGAAATAGCCGTTTGCTATAAACCTCACATAAGACAGTAACAATTCTTCATTAGTTGGTAAAGTAGACTCATCGGATTGAATTGAGAATTGACTTGTTCTCAGGTAATCGCACAATGATCCTTCAATGTTTTCAGCCATTTCATCAATTCGTCTTTGCACAGAATTATTGATCTAAGGAATTTTTCGGATAATATCTGCGACTAAATCAAATCAAATCAAGATTATTTATTCAATCTAGGCTGTTACAAGTTTTGTTTACTCGGAGTCCGTCGTCATCTCGCTTAGCAGCCGCCGAAAATAGTACTTGGCTGAGTATTATGCTTTTTCACTAGGTCTTAAAAATTCCCCTATTTTTTTCTCGGTATTTTATCGCCACCCTTTAGGCCTGCAGCACCAACAAGGGGGCGATATCGACCACTTTGGGAAAGGCTGCTTTAGACAAAGTGCCATTTTATCGATTATTGAATTGATAAAGATGCAATCTGCAAGACAATGTCAAAAGCTTATGACTGGTAGAGATGTTTTTGTGCTTCAACGCTTGATTTCAAATATCGATTTGCTTCTTTATACTAAATAAGACTTAAGATATTAAACTAAATAAGACTTCTTCAATATAGCGTTGAATTATAATATTGTGTTAAATAATAATTTTGATAGTGATATATAACGGTAATCTGCTAAAAAAATATTAATGGTACAGCTCTAATGACATTTATGTTATGTCATTCATTTGTGACAGCAAAACCCCAAACCAATAATACACCGCTGATAGGAAACATTAGGCTAATTGCTTATAATCCAACAATAAGATTGTTTTCATTTCGTTAGTATTGTTTACCATTTATGATTACAAAGTGTACATATGCAGAATATACATAATTTTTCTCCGAACTGGTCACAACGTCTTCGAGACCTACAAATATTAACTAAAAATGATTAAGTTCTGGAAAAGCGCAGGTATCAAACGATGTCAATTTTATCGTAGATATTTTATCGCTTATTCACGTTTTTATTTTATGATAACCCACAACCTCATGTTTTAGATAAAGGTAAATCTGGTTGTCCCGTAAGACCACCCGAGCCTAGCACTAGTTCAAATAAGATTAATAATAAAACTCTCTTGGATACGCAGTTAGATGATGTCGAAGGTAAACAACAACTCTATTTCTTAAGAGAAATTATAATTATGTTTTTATTTGTAACAATAAACATGAGTGTTTATTGTTACAAATAAAAACATAACTATATTACTTGTAAAGGTTTCTCGTTTACGATTTGTAAAATAAAGTATATAAATATGAATATATATATTATAAATATGAATATATATATTATAAATATGAATATATATATTATATATATATTCATATTGTAGCATGTTCCACAAACAATTTAATTTTAATCCTGTCCAATTGCTTTTCAACTTTGTCCATTATCATGATGTAATTTAAGTTAGCCAATTTATAATTGATTTTCAGATGAGGTGCACATATTTGAGAAGAAATCAAAATTATGTTTAAGCTTGCATGATATACTCATTGAAAAGAAATCAATTAAATATTTCATTCAGTTTATGGAATCAATAGATAAATATTTGCCTGTCAAATGCTGGCTAGAAATGGAAAATTTCAAAAAACTCTTATTAAATACAAATTATACTGATAAGTTTGACAGCCATGTAAAAATTAGTCGGACTAAAAGTTATGATTTTCAGTGTAAATGTGATGAAATGGTTGAGAAAAATATTACACAAAAAAATATGTTAAGAGATAAGATTGGCAATAAATTAAGTGGAACAAGTGATTTAAGAAAATTTAATAGTTCATCAAGTTCATGCATGAACTTAACTGAAACTAACACAATACTGGACAGTTGTAGTGAATGTGGTGTCAACAACAAATCTAATATAACAGAGATAGCTATTGATATATTCAAGAAGTATGTGGCACAAGAAGCACCTTTTACATTAGACCTGCCTGATAGCTATAGAAAATCTGTTATATCTAATATATGTCACCCTGAAGGTGTTATAAAAGAAGATTGCTTTAAACCAGTGCAGGATATTATTTTCAATGAAATTGAGAATAATTATTTTAAGGATTTTATAAGTAGTCCATTTTATATTAAAGCACAAATTGATATTCTCACAAATGGCTCTCTCAACTTGAAAGACATTCTTTATAATGATACATTGTTATTCTATTATACAGAATTTCTAGAACAAGAGTCATGTAGACATCTATTGGAATTCTTAATGGCTGTAATGCATTTCAGAGACAATTTGACTGATGGAAATCCTTGTCAGCCTGATCAAGTTCAAGCAGATGCAATAATTCTTTATGATAAATATTTTTCACTTCAGGCTACAAGTCCTATTGGATTCCCTCAATATATAAGATTAAAAATAGAAAGTGACATTTGTATAGAAGATGGTCCTCACCATACTTGTTTTGATTTACCATACAGAATTGTCTTTAAAACATTATCTCGATACGTCAAGACTTTTTTAGATTCAGAGTTATATTACAAGTACCTTTCCGAGATGATACATTCTGTGGATCAAATTTGGTCATCAAATAATAGATCTCAGTCAGATTGCAGCAGTGAGTTCAGTATAAGCACTCAAAATACACTATTAGCCATGGGAGACCCCGTGTTCCGTAAAAAGAAACGAAACCATTCTGTACCTGACATGACAATAGACTCCAATCAGCTTTACAATGCTGATGCTTTATGGCAAAGAAAAAAGAATGATGGTTTGACTCTAGGAAGAGTTAACAGTCTAGGTAGATTTGAATCAAAGTTTGAACCTGATCCCGACAAGAAAGATAAGTCTGTATTAAAGAAAATGGTGAGCAGATTTGTTCCATCAGTTACATCAAAAGTGGAAGAGGAGATGGCCTGGCAAATAGCTCACATGATTGTCAAAGACGTAACAGACTTGACTATGGCCCCACCGGAAAATGAGTAAGATGATGTATAATTGTATGATAGTTTATATTTTTTATGTTATAAAAGATCTGATATATTGTATAAATACCTATTAATAAAATGTAAAAACTTTTCAGTATTATATATTTTTACTAACCAATTATCATGTTAATATTATTAAGTTTTAATTAGCAATGTAAACAATACTGTGATATTGTTCGGTTATCTTAATCACTATAGTGATAACAAAAATATATTTTCTTATATAGATAGGGAAATAAAACAACACTTTTGTATAAAATAAATTCTTCAAAAATACCCTGGATGTTTTAACTTGATATGAATAGGACATGCAAGCAGCTAAATATGTGCAGGCAGGTTTTAGGGGCTGTCCATTAATCATGTGATATTTTTTCAGCATTATTAACCTACCTTCCTTCACCAACAGGTGACATATGGTGAAGACTACCCCAAAAATCACGTGTATTTTTAGTACCTACAAAAAAATCTTAATTTATGACACAGCTTTTCCGTTTAGTAATCGCGCGTATGAGGAAAAAATAAATACACGTGATATATTACTATTTCACGAACCCCTTCCCCCCTTTCGAGCCTCACATGATTAATGGACAGACCCCTTACATATTTAATCGAAATCTGACCCATATATTTGTAATATGCTTGCAAGAATTTCAATATTCTTTTATTATTTTAAAATAAATATTTTTAAGTAATATATAAGTTCAAATGTGAAAATTTACTAAACTTCACTGACAACCACTTCTTTTTTCACAAAATACTATACATTCTCAAAATAATATCATATGACATTGTGGATTCCTACAGGGATATCTCTAGGATTCCATTTAGTCTCTGCCAGCAGATTTTATGTCAAGCTTTGAATGTTCAACATTGGAGATAACTTAAACCTAATAATAATATGATGTCCACATGCATCATAATTTGTTCACATAATGCAATAAATGGATACACACATTGCTTCATAATGTAGCATGGTTATTAATACTAGGCGGAATCGAAGATAATTGCAATCTCGGTGGTTCAGATCCCAAGAGTGGCGACAGCTCGTCGTAAAAATTGAAATCTTTATTGGATTGTCCAAATACACTTTGGACTAGGCTACGATTATGGAAGTTCCATTTCCGGTAAACAAATGCATTTAATAGTGCTTGCATTGGGTTCATCAGAGCCTGTAAATATAAAATATATCTATAATATGACTTTTTTAATAATAAAGACGAAAGAGGTAAAGATAAATTTTCTGTCGTTTTGTAACGTTGTCTTAATACTTACCATAATGTACCATATGGCAATAATAACATTTACGGGCATATTGAACCACATTGTCCATAAAAGTATACCATTTATAAGATTTGGTAACCAACAAATATAGAAGACAACATTGATGAATAAAAATTTCAGTCTTAATGCATCAACAACTCTTCGTTCCTTACTTGTGAACTGCAATATTAAAAATAAAAAAGATTAGAACATAAAACATGATCTATTGCATGTACCTAGCTATTTACTATATATTACACATGGCTAAGTCGAAACATTAGCGACAAAAGAATGCCCATTGAAGAATGAAATTTGGTACCATATGGTATGATGTACCTTCTTGTAATTTACCTCATTTTTAGGGTTTCAAATATGTAGTCAAGGTCAAAGATATATGTCGCAGCCAACTAGTTAAAACAGCCGTTGCCGTATAAAACCTATACTTGGATGTCGATTAATGTAAGCCGGTAAACATCGTTGCTTTAAAATTATTATCTCGTGTTGATAAAATAAAAATTTAACTGGGGGTAACACATCTCTTATTTATGAATTTGTAATCGTATGTACATATATTTTTTAAATAAATTGGTATTTTGATAATTAGGTGCCTAATTATCTACAAGAACGACAAGAACAAGATTTATGTCTTAGAATAATAATTTTAAATAAAAGTACTGCAGCATGAAATTTTTATATCTATTTTATTCTTGGAATTATTATGGTTATCGAGAAAAGGCCGCGGCAATCGATCATATATCGTATCCCGAAAAATAACATATAAGGATGAAAATGGGAATGGATTCGTTCGTTATCGTTACCATAGAAACCATTATTTACAATTTAATTTGTCATTGTAATTATTCAATGTCATCCTTTCCGAAATCCATCCTATTAATATTATAAATGCGAAAGTTTCTTTGTTTGGATGTTAGAATGTTTGTCGGTCAAACACGCCGAAACTACTGAACGGATTTTGATAAAATTTGGTATACAAATAGGGTAATAGCTGACTTGGATAATAGGATACTTTTTATCCCACTAAACATTGCCCTAGGGTCAACGCGGGCGAAGCTACTGGCGAAAGCTAGTTATTAAATAATTTAAGCTCTTCAAGCAGGATTAAATATTGTTTTAATTTATTCAAATCGGTACTATCGTTCTCGTCACTATTAAATGCATATGTTATACTTGTTAATTACACGAAAATGTTACATTTAGCTCAGCTACTGATCACTAGATGACACTGCAATCCTTTTAAAACGGGATTTTATGTTTGTAGTCTTAATTTTTTCCGATTTTTATCAAACAATTTTCTTTCTAAATTTTGGGGTTTTTCTAATAATATAATTTAATGGGGTATTATTAATAAAGCGCAAAATTAAATGTTGTATCACTAGATGACCCTACTGTACTTTCAAAAAGGGATTTTGATTTTTGTTATAGTTGTTATCTTTTTTTTCCATATTTTTATAAAACAAAGTAGCTTTCGTTTTCAATTTTGCGATTTTCCAATAACATAACTTATTGGGGAATTGTAAATCAGGCGAAAAATAAAATGATACAATTAGCTGTTTTCGCTAGATGACGCTACTGTATTATTAAAACGTGGTTTTGATTTCTTTAATGTTTGTTGTCTTTATTGTTTTCTGATTTTTATCAGTTGCTTTCATTTTTAATTTTGCGGTTGCATAGTCAGCAAGGAACCCTTATAATTTCGTCATGTCTGTCCGTCTGTCCATCGGTCTGCAGTTTAGCTCAAAAACGATTTGTATTAGGGTGTAATTTACAGTTTAATCACGCCAGCAGTCTTGTAGAATCTTGGTAAAAAAAAATCCCTACTTATTTTTTTATCTTAACATTCCGTGAGGTATCGTTGGATAAGTCTTTCAATAACGTTAGGGTTGTGGGGAGACCGTTTCGATTTCGTTATTCACTCGTGACTAATCGAAGCATCAAAGTGCCAATTTTCGTTAGAGTCCAATGTCGTCGTCACCCCTCTCTCACTTCCGAAATTACCGATTGTTATTAGAAAATCAACGTCACGGCAGTAGTGTATAACGAATTTAATAGAAAAAATATCACACTTAAGTTGACTTTACAACGAGTAATAGTCGACCAAATTTATTTAAGTCGAAAATTTCGAACAACTCTTTTGAAAACGACAAACCTGTTTTTTGCATTTTTTATGAACAAATCATTATCCATAAGAAAGGATTTATCACTAAACTTCTTAATTAACAATCATTTTTATTTCGGCGAAATTGTGACTTGGTATTTTTTATTATAAATATCAATATGTCTCAAAATGAAACAATATTTTGTCAATCTCTTTTGTTAATTTAATTGATAAAGTTAAATTATTCAGTCTGATAATATTTAAAATCTAATCTTACCTGAGCCAATGGCATTGCAACTGCCATTTCCACATTCTTACTGGCAAGTGCATACATTACTGGATTTACTATCATAACCATTGCAATGGGCAAGTATGTGGCACAATAATTAGGCAATATTTTGTATAAAGCACTGGAAAGTGATGATAAATTATGGCAGCTGGAAATAAAATTTTATGTATTAAATCCAGTGACACTAGATAATATATGATATATTATTTACTACTATAAAAATATGAAATTCAAAACCACCTTTGTGACTATTTAATGCAGAAAAATATCAACAGAAATACTTAAGCTAATAATTTTAATATGAATAATCTGTACTAGAGATGAAACAGATAGTGATTTAACTAAATACTGGATATACGACAAGCTATCTATGACCAACCCTTGTGAAAGTTGTTAAACAACCATATCATAGACTGAGAGCGCTAACCACTGCGCCATCGAGCTCCTTCTTCATTCAAATCAATTATAAAAGAAACAACTCTATTGTGGTATGATTTGCCTTGTTTAAAACAATTTGAACTTTACTATCAATAAATAGTATACAATATAAGTATACAATTTTACTATCCGGTATTCGTCCATATATCGAATACAAGGCAGGTTACTGGATAGTTACCGGATATCAGTTTCATCTCTAATTTGTAATGAAATTATTTGAGTCTAAACCAATGATAAAATCCATATAATTTTACTTACGTAGCATTTGGGATATAGAGAATGGATAATCCTATACTTGTTGTGGCAGCAGGCACACCCCAAGCTATCGAATGATATAAAAATGGATGAGAGTCATGACCTTTGATCGAGCTCCAAGTGTCTATGGCATAGAACAATGTCCAAAACCAAGTTACTGTGTAAAAATACTGTGTCCAGGCCTATAACAAAAAATAATTATAATTAGGAATAACAATATTAATTTGTTAATAATTAATAGATTATTAAAGAAAAATCTAAATAGCTCTAAATTTTAATGACAACTATCAGACACTGGCTAAATAATACAAGAGCACCAAGGAAGAAATTGAATTGATGTATTGGTACTGAGTTAGAGCAAAACAAGCAGTAGGTGTGGGTAATAACTGTAAATATACAGTTATGTGTGTGCCAAGAGGTGAAGCTAAATACAAAAACATTAATTTCAACAAATAAAAAAAGAACTGTAACTATTGTAAATCACATATTTTAATTTAAAACAAGTTTATAGTGACCTGCTATGATTGATAATATGATTTGTTAAAAATAACTATTTTGTAAATACATGTTAGCTTAACTTACTACTCAGAATTGGTACTAAAAAAATAAAAAAATATGAATTGAAAGATTCATTGATCTCATCAACCAAGGTTAATAATGAAATCCAATTACATGTAAAAAATAAAAAAAAACAGTGTAGAACAAGTCATTTTCAATAAAGACTCATGCAAAAAAGTGAAAAGAATGTGTGTTGTTTGAATAACAACTGAAGTGTCACTATCACAGGAATGAAAGCTGTTTTGTTACAAGCTGCGCACAACGCACAAATGACTTGGAACTATCTATAGCAAAATAAAAATTTGCTTTTACTTTGGACGAATGATATAATTAATATACTTAGATATAATTAAATAAAATCTTACAGATGTTATGCTGCAAAACAACACGCTTATGTCATCTTCAGGCATTGGCATTATATTTTTATATCTCAACCACAAAGAGGAACGAACCAGAACACCTAAAATTCAATAAACATTAATAAATACACTTCTGATTGAGCTTGGTGTTGTTATACTAATATTATAAAACATTTTTAGCTTTAGTCAGTTACATTTCAAATCAATTGATTATAAGTCAACTAATACTGATTATAGTACTCTATAAAAAACAATGCATTGATGTCCCATAGAGTTTGACAAACTAAACATTTACAGACAGTTCATTACATCTTACTAATAGAAAATAAAATGTACAATAGCACTTGAGTGACAGAGTGAACACATATAAACGAAGATGCACAAATACATAAAAATGTTTCTTCAGATGTAAGTTTTAAGAAAAGTTTCATTGGTCAAAGTTGGTTATAGTTATTTTACAAAAATGAGTACTGCCAATAACTTAATGAATAAAATTACCTAAAGAGGCCAGCAAATCTGCTATAGCCAACCATATGATGATATGCCGCCCTCTTGTTGATGTTGCTGGTTGCCATCTCTGTGATTCTATAGCAACAATATATGGAAATACCTATTGTAGTTAAAAACAAAAGTGTCATTAATTATTGTTTATAAAACTTTAAAGGCAATGTTATTACTGTAACTACCTGATACAAAGCACCTAAAATTCCAATGGTAGATGATACAAGACACAAAATATTATATGAGTCTGTATTAAATTCACTCATAATTCTTACAGCCATATCTTCTCTATTTCCTGTTTGGTGACAGCAAAATGTTTGAATAGTAGGGTCCGACATTGTTGTTTGATCGTTCGTATTGTACTACTTTAATTAATTTTAAAATCATAAAATTATATCTTTGTACAAATCACATGTTCACATAATACTACACACAAACAATGGAACATATCTGTTAATGCTTTAAATTTAATAAGAAACAAATTAAAACTGAACCAGAAAATGCGGTAATTCACAAATACATTAAAAATAGATTATTAATTATTACACTTTTTGTTAATTATTTACAAAATTAAGAACCGAAATTCGGTATGGGATCCAGAGGTTTGCTTCATGTTTGTTTTTTTTTAAATTTTTAATTTAGTAGTAGTTAGGTACCTATATAGTAAACTTCGTCCTCTAAGGACAGGCGAAGGCGATTCAGCCATATTGCCAGATCTTCCGTATTTATTTCTTTTCATTTATTTTATGTATGTATCAAGTCTGTAATATAGGTGAAATTTCTCCAATGGTAGAATTAATAAAATTATAAAGAGGGATGAAGTTTTCTGGGTGTAATAGAATTTCTTGAAGAGAGGGAGGTGGTATTGGAAGTGTCTAAAAGCTGATCTATTAGTAGTAAACGTTGTAAATGAGGAAGTATTAAAAAAAAACATTAGTTCCCGAAACCACACTAGATGTCACTACGGTACGTTCTTGCTTTCTCCATGATAACATTTCCGGTTTTCTTTCATGTTTAAAAGTAAATAGTTTTCAAAACTCAGTAAACAACTCATATTCTATTTGCACTTTTTCGTATTTGTATTGATATCTAAATTTCGAACTTTTCAAATTTCAGTTTTTTAATATGTTAGTTAAAACGAACGAAAATGACTATCTTTAGTCCATTCGTTTCCTGCAAAATTCAACTTTTGCTAGCGTCGCCATCTAGTGGAGATGCTTTTATAGTGCTTTCGTTTTTTTTAAATACTTCCTCATTGAATGTCGGACATGTGAAGAAAATGTGTTCCAACGATTTTCTTGTAATGAACATTCAGTGCAAATCGGGGATGTTATAATACGCATACGGTGCTAGTAAGCCTTAAACCTACAATGTCCAAAACGCAATCTAGTTATTTGCGTATAAAATTTCCTTTGCAGATAGTCCTTTTAGACGGCAAACCATGGTTTTCGTCCAACTTCTTTATTAATACCAGGTTCCTTTTATCTGATTTATTATGACATTTTCTTCATTCCATTGCTGATTAATTTTATTACTATATTCAAGTAACAAATCTTGCCAAAAAACGAGTAGATCTTTTATATTACCTCCCGTTGTGTTTGTTAGACGGGCAAGGAAATCGACTTTTGCCGGCCACACCAACATGTCGACGTTGAAAAGCAAACACGTAGTAACCTGCAAAACCAAATTGGATATTTAGTATGGATAATCTTTATATTTTTACAAGAAAAAATATCTTCTTTCCGTATAAATTGACTAAGGAACACCTAATTTGTTACCATGGACGATTATAGGAAAATTAAAGTTTTTCTGCTCTAAAGAACAATTTTGGTTTTGCGGGTTACTACGTGTTTGCTTTCCAGCGTCGATGTGCTCGCGTCCATACTTTGTCAGAAGAATGGTTTTAATACTTTCAGAATTTATAGGAGTTTCATTTAATTTATTTTCATGTATAACTTTAACAATTGTAGATATAAGCATATTTAAACATTCATCAGATTCTAAATATCCGGAAATATTTTCTAAATTTGAAATAGTAGTTTTAGGTCTTTTATTGTTCCAAATAGGGAAAGCATTACTGTCAAATAAATAAACAAATGGCACAGTTTTTTGTTTCATTTGGTTTTCTTGTATTTAATGGGGCGTTGGGCAGAAATTGCTATATGTTTGCCGCTGCAATTTATACAGGTGGCTTCTTTACTGTCTTTATTGCAATCTTTATAAGAATGGCCTTCACCACAGATTGAACATCTCTGGGAATTTTTGCAATTCCTTTTTATTGTCGTTTTAAGGCAGTCCAAAGTGACATAAGATCTCTATCACCTATGGGCTTGCCCGAGTCAACACTTTCATATAATACTATATATTCAAAGTTACCGCCTTCCTCGGGATACTGTCTTGAATAGTTTTCGACTTTGAACATTAAGTATTAATTATTATCCAACCAGGAATCAGAATGGCTATCGTCGCTATCACCAGAATGCTTCCGCCTTTCTTTTCTTTCTTATAGTCTTAATTTTTATGGGAAAATTTAGATAATTTTTTTTTAACACCTTTGGTCGTAAAGCTGATGTAATTCCACCGGTTTTGCGATGTAATTCCACCGGTTCCAGCATATGTAAAGCGGGTCATAAAAAACGCGTGTGTTACCAAAGCAAATAGTTAAGTTATAGTCCATACAAATTCCATAACAGTATTATTTGCCATTTCGCGCGCTGTTGCTATTCAAATTTCGAATTAATCGCCGCGCGGCGCCAATCAGTAGGCAGCGCTAGCGCGCTGTTAAAATGGCGGGAAAGCAACAGTTTATTCAGTAATTTAAAAGCTTGGCTGCATGCTCTAACGTCTTTGCCAACATTTTCACGCAGCTACGGCAGAAAATAATCCTCGCGCCATTTTTCTCAAATTTTCTTTCTTTGTACTTGTATTGTGCATATCTAAAAATGACAACTTTCAATAATGAAAAAGAGCAAATATTACTTCAACTCCACCGGATATACTAACAGAAGCGCGAACGTCATGCGACAGCTTGCTGCCGTCAATATCCAAAGACAGATACATAACCACGTATGAAAATTTCTTGAAGTGGAAAAACATGAAAAATTGCCAAGTCATTTTCCGAAAATACTACATTTTGGCATATTTTAATGAACTAGCTAGTATATATAAGCCTAGCTCGTGGACACCATATTCTATGCTGAAAAGTACACTCAAGATGAAAAATGGTGTCGATATTAATTTATATTCAAATAATATTGCATTTTTAAAGAGACGCTCTGTGATACCCGATGGTAAAACGGGTATAGAGAAAGACCAGGGAGCTTTTAGATTACATGAGTTTATTTACACAATAAAAATATATATATAAGTACTTTATAAAAATATGAACAGCACCGACAACAGTTTTACGAAGAGTAACATAAATATAAACAATAGATGCGCATGTGCAGAACAGATTGTCAATATTTAAATTATAAGTAATAAGGAAGACCTTTAACCAAGAAGGTCTTCCTTAACACACCCCCTCAATCTGTTGCACATGCCGACTATCCTAACTTACACATATATAAATTGCTAACTGTTTCTAAACCTAAAAACAAACTTTCTTGTCTTCTTCTCAACTTTGTTTACCACAAAACTTCAGATATATAAAAATCATCCAGTTAATTCATCTCCTACTCGACTTACTTTATCATAAAAAAACTTCAAACAATTAACTCCTACTCGATCCGACTTCTCATAAAAAACCTCAAACACTTAACTCCCACTCGATCCAACTTATCATAAAAACTTCAAATAATTAACTCCTACTCGAACCCACTTAATTATTCCTAAATTCCCTTCAATACAAAAAAAAAAAAAAAAAAAATAAACACTACTCCTACTACCTCATTGCGACAAAACAGAAACTATCTACTAATACAATTTAAACTTTATACTAACTCTATAAAATATATTAGTTTTTTAAAAATAATAATAATAACAAACCTGATATATAATACAAACAAAAATGATTACAAAACTTAAGGCCAATACTCTCCAAATATTTGTAAATTTTTTTAAAGGATTAGTTTGTAACTCTTCTATTTCATTTTTATAATGATTCATTTAGTTGCTAATAAATTATTTTAAAACTTCATTAATTTCTCACCCCCTTAAATGAATCATTATTAACCAAGAAAAAACTCCCTTTAATATACGCACCCCCTTAATACTTTAACTGACTATGAATTGATTAGGAACCTTAAGTTTACATCACGCCTTTATATCACTTCTATAAATATTACACACCCCTATAAAACTTATATATTAATACCCCACATATTAACCGAAAAAACGTACTTAGTTCACTTTTGCCCACACTTAACACTACCTAACATCACTCTGATACGAGTTTTCTTTGACACCTCTCAAACTTCACTGGTGGCAAACACTTAGTAAGTATATCTGCTAACTGCGAACCCGTTGGACAATATTTAACCGTTATTCTGTTTTTATCAATCTGATCTTTTAGATAGTAGTATCTTACGTCTATGTGTTTGCTTCTTTTATTCATGATACCTTTCTTCATAAGCCAAATAGCTGACTGGTTGTCCACTTTCATTTCTATTTCTAATTTTTCATTGGTCATTTCAAATATCAAATCTCTAATAAATAAAAGTTCTTTGCAACATTCTGCTGCGGCTATAAATTCTGCTTCCGTACTTGATAAAGCTACAATCGGTTGTTTTCTTGAACTCCATGCCACTGGTCCACCGTTCAACCAAATCACATAACCCGATGTACTACGTCTAGTGTCTGGATCCCCCGCGAAATCTGAATCACAGTAACCACGAAGCACTTTATCACCTTCAGCATAGTGAATGCCTTTCTTTATCGAACCTTTTAAAAATTTTAAAATAGTTTTTGCATTATTTAAATCATTTAAATTTGGAGCACTTTGTTGACGCGAGCAATACCCTACATGGAAGCTAATGTCTGGCCTCGTTTTGTTGGCCAGATATAACAATGATCCTATCATTTCCCTGTAAAGTTCATGACTCTCTGTATCTACTTTCACTTTAGGATGTTGTTCTATCAATATTGTTGGGGTTTTGCACTCTCTTGCTTCATTTAAATTAAATCTTTTCAAAAGTTTTTCGATATACATTTCTTGACAAATTTTTACTCCTTTCTCTTCTTGTTTTATTTCTAGCCCGATATAGTTTGATACTTCTTCGCAGATTCTTAGATCAAATCCTTTTCTCAACGTTTCCACTATATGCAACAGATCTTCTTCATTCTCTCCAACTACTAAACCGTCATCAACATAAATCGCAAGAATTATTCTTCTTTTACCTTCCATCACAAAAATACACTGATCTAACTTTAATTGTTTAAACCCCATTTTAAGTAAAAATTCTGTAAATTTAATGTTCCACATTAATGGAGCTTGTTTTAACCCATATAAACTCTTATTCAATTTGCAGACTTTATCTTCTTTATTGTTATAACCTTTTGGAACTTTTAAATAAATGCATTCCTTCAAATCTCCATTTAAAAAGGCTGTTTTAATATCAAATTGTTTCATTTTTAATTTTTTATTTGCAACAATTGACAAAAGTACTCTCAACG